AGTTCGAAAAGATGATGCTTCTCATAGACGATTTTCCCGATCCGCTGCGTCCCTATACTGTTAGATTCTTCAATTCGTGTTTATAAATCATATACATACCATTAGGAGCAGTTTCCTGCGTGAACTTGTGGCCGTCATTGTCTATTGGTTGTTGTTGTCGTAGTGTAGGTAGTAAAGGCCCTCCCCCTTGCCCTAACACAACTTATCTTTTACCACCATCCTTAGCCTACCCTCCATAGGGCCTTTTATGTAAGTATGAATACTGTGATGATTATTTTTTTTTGGCTGATATTCTGTGGAGCAGTCTATTTCAGACTACAACGGTATCTGAGTTTCATACTAACGCCACCGCAGATGTCTCGTTTGCCGCGTGACGACAAAACCGTGACCGTGACTATTCACGCACATGGTGCCGACGTCTACGACGAGAAGATGTGGTTCTGGAAGAACGGCTATTTCGGCAAGGGCACCCTCAGTAGAAGCGAACCGACCTGGCTCCGCCGCCAGACCTCCACCACTCCGCTTGCTGAAGACATAACAGTCCTGCGCCGTCAACAGCGACTCCAGACCAAAGGCGCACTGCTCGACAGTCCGGCCGCGTCTTCGCAGCAGACGGAACCAACAGGTATGGCCGGTACTGCTGTTCCAGAAGAATTGGAGGATGCCGAAAACACAGAAGACATTGAAGCGCTGCGACTGAGTCCGGACGAGGTACTGTTTCTGTCGTACGGCGTAGGCTGTGTCAACCCACTGCTGGCTGGCCGACCGGCTACGCTAGACGATGTACTGACCACTTTTGATATGCAGCTAGGATCAGAAATGCTGTGCAAGTATGTCGCATACCATCATTTCCGGTCTCTTGGCTGGTGTGCACGCGACGGCGTCAAGTTTGGCGCCGATTATGTGCTGTACCGCAAGGGTCCGCCGCATTCACATGCAGAATTTGCAGTGATAGTGCAGCCGACGTTGAACTGGCGCTCGCTGTCTGCACGCAACCGTGTGATAACGAATGTACGCAAGACGCTGATTTTAGCACATATCGAGCAGCCCCCAACACTTAAACCGTACACAGACTTGAGTCTACTACTGGAGCAGTTCTCCATCCGGTTACAGACTGTGCAGCGCTGGTCGCCGGCACGCAACCGACAATAATGCGAAACGAAGTTACGAATACAAACTACAATAACGAATTTAAGCAACAAACATTAATACCTAAAGGAGTGACAGCGATGCACTTCCACCTCTAAAGATTTAGAGGAACGTTGATGAGCTAAAAACACATTCAATTCATTAAGAGATAAAAACACAGAAACAACTATAGCGTAAACGATAAACCGCGCTCAGGGAATTATGCAACTATGAGCTTACGCTTGGTTGCTGACAGGAGCAGCAGCAGGAGCAGCAGCAGCAGTCTCGACGTCCTCCTCGTGAGTAGCGTGCTCAGACTTCTCGTTGGAGTCCAACGGTAAAACAGCTTCCTCTGTGACTTCGATGTGAGTACTGGCGGTCTTCCAGGCGGGGATCTTCTTCATCCACATGACCTCGATCTCCTCAAGCGACTTGCCCTTGGTCTCAGGGAACATGAAGAACACATGGAAGAACATGGCAATGCAGAAGACACCAAAGATAAGATAGGTTCTCCATTGAATGTTAGTGAAGGCAGGTGGGACAAAGAAAGCCAAGGCGAAGTTGAAGATCCAGTTGAAGGAGGCGCAGAAACCGTTGGCGACAGCACGCTGGTGAAGCGGGAAAATCTCAGAGACGTATAGCCAGATTCCAGGACCCCAAGTGGGTGCAAAGGAGGCGGTGAAGAGGTAGCTGCAAGCAATGATAGCGCGAGAAGCAGAAGTAGAGTCGACGATCCATCTCAAGTTACTGTTTCCATCTACTGAGTCGACATAGTGGCCGTAGTTAGCCATAAGACCGGCGGTGGCGAACATGAAAATCATCATAAGCACGGCACCGAGGAGGAGCATGGGACGGCGGCCCCAGGAGTCGATGAATACCAAGGCAGGAATGGTCATAATGACGTTAATAACATATTGAATAGAAGAGGAGACAAGTACGGTGTTACCATGATAGCCGGCCATCTGGAAGAGGTTGACGACGTAGTACATGGCGACGTTCATACCTGTGAGCTGTTGCCAGATCTGGGCAGAGACACCGACAAAGGTACGAGTGCGAGAGCCCTTAGCGAAAAGGTCGATAATGGAGACATTCTTGGACTGGCGATTGATTTCAACAGAGATGCGGACTTCCTCGAGTTCAGCCTTAGCGCGTTCGTCGTCGAGGTTACCGCCGGCCTCGATCTTCGAGACAATGAAGGCGGCCTCTTCCCAGCGGTCCTTGGAAGCGAGCCATCGAGGCGACTCGGGAACGAGGAACAAACTAGCCATTAGAACGATACCGGGCAGAATCATAATACCCCAGGCAGTACGGAAGGAGGCGGGTCCCTCGATGTGAGTGCAGCCGTAGGAAATGTAGAACATGATCATGATACCCCAGGTGACAGCCCATTGGAACAGGGAGCCGAGTCTACCGCGAATGCGCTTGGGGGCGATCTCAGAGATGTACACGGGGACCTGCGATGAAGCTAAACCGATACCAATACCGGCGATGAAACGTCCGATGATGAGTTGGGCGAGGTTCTGGGAGGAGCTCTGGATGGCAGCGCCGACGATCCAGAAGAAACCGGCAGTCTGAATAGCGAGTTTGCGACCCTTCCAGTCGGAGAGGGCGCCGGCAACAAGAGCACCGACGAAGGAGCCACCAGACATAGCGGCAGTGATTCCACCCTGAGTGACGGAGTCAGGATAGCCGAAGTAGGTACGGTAGGCGTCCTCGGAGACGAAAGCCGAGACGGACGAGATGTCGAAACCGAACATCATACCACCCACCGTCGCTATGAGAGCAGCGAAGTATGGATTGTATACTTTGTACATTATGCAAACAGAAATATGTGTGAGTCTTTTGCGAACAGTTGTGCGAATATAAATTTATTCTTAGAAAAAAAGCGGGGAACCAAAATAAGAAGCTGCTATATTTATACTAAGTGGCCCACGCGCCGGTCCTAGACACATGCGTTCAATAATTAAGGTAGTACCCCAGAATTTTCCGGTGTTAAAGTTAGAGTTAGAGTTCACTAAGCTTTCAGGAGCTTGAGAGAGTTTCCCCAGCCAAACTGAGTTGTCGCAAGAACCCGAAAGTCAAAAGAAGCCAATGGGCATCGAAAAGTGGGGGGCAATAGACGGCAGTAGAAATCATGAAGTCACGCGGATTAACTAAAACGGTAATACCTTAAGCAGTGGGACGATTGTGCTACAAGTGCTTGGGCGGCCTAAATCGGCAAGTGAATGTGGGGTATAATGGGGCAGTACTTAACTAAATGAACACAATATAGCCTAAATAGTTGTGAGATAGTTCAAAGTACTATCGTATATGTTCGTCAGTCAACCCTTAGTCAAAATCGACCCGACCCAGCAAGTAAACTGCATCGATAAAGGGTTGTCTGACCAGCCCCTTCGCGGAAAAACAAGCCTCTAAGCGAAAACTGAAACAGTAAGCAATAACGGAAAAAATTTGAATTCTAAAGAAAGTTCCCTTAATAAAGTTACAACTCTCCGGTTTGCCTCTCTTTGAGTTCGCACTCATCTAATAAGCTCATATGAGCTGTTTTTAAGCTAAACCTTGAGTCTCTCTTTAGGCTCCGGGGAGCCACGCAAAGCTTATGGGTCCTAAGGCAATTTTTGCTCTTTGCTTTCTTAGCACTGTCCGATGGCTGCTTATCATTAGTACTCATCGGCAAATCGCTCTCCTTGCTATGCTTTTTAACTCTCTACCACTCGATCCTTGATCGATCCGATGGAAACATAGCGTGCCATTGCAACTCATCAATATTTCGCCGTTCCCCGCAGTTATGTTTCTCTTTTCATTAAAGCAACGGGGCCTCAAACCTTTTTACGAGCCACAACATTTCGCGCGCGGGGGAGTAATATTCGTGTTCTTAACGAACACGACCCCGGCCATCTACACCGTGTCACGTAGTCACACCCGCTCGCATCGCTATCCCTCTTAAAGATATATCCAACCCTGTCCAATCGCACGTCGCTTTCAAAGGCTCCGGATCCTGGGATGTGATATCTATCAAGGTTTCACGCTTTTATACATAGACTTTCCCCGATCAAGTGCCTCTGGCGACCTGTCCGTCTGCCGATCGTATTCCACTGTTCGCTCTTTTCATCCGAAACTGGAACTTCTCCGCTCGAATAGAAACTTCTTGCCCTCTCCGATAGTGGCAAAAAAATACCACCATTGTACATTCATTACTCATCGCTGCGATCTGTTTTTTTTCCGCATATTCGTCCCCGCCCCCGCCCCCCTTTCAGACAAGGTTAAGCTCTATACTTTGAACGACTAAATCCGTAAACCATCTGCCGCAAATCCCGGTTACGAATGACCTAGATGAGGCAATCATAACATCGAAAGGCCATTGCTGAATAAGCAACTGATTTGCGTGCTATAATGACAAGCAACGAGCCCCAGAAATTTTGCTTGGCACTGGGGCTGATCGAATGCTCATTAGCCCGCTCGATCGACCAGCGGTCATCACTCTGACCCCTTCCTAGACACCTCCTGCTGCCTATCAGATTGGTTTACAATCTAATGCGGGGAATTGATGACGTACCATAGCGGCATAGTTTTTCCCTTATGCTTCTCAGTTCAAGATACACTCAAAATCTGTACGAATTCTGAAAGCTCGTCTCGTACCTCAAACTGTTACCACCAAACTATAAAGCATTACCCCCGCATTATCACGGTCGCGGGTGAACTAATACTTCTTTGTCCGTCGGTACGCGACTCCGCCATCAGTCTATCAAATGTTCATCAACGCAAAACCCATCTGTCTAGCTTCATAATTGCAAATCTCATAGACCATATAGAAGTACGAAATAGCAGGTGCGAAGCGATAGCGTCCCTGAAAGGAGCCAAAAAAAAAAATTGGGCCGGGCCGGGAATTGAACCCGGGACCACTCGCACCCAAAGCGAGTATCATACGACTAGACCACACGGCCAATTTAAGTTATAATTGCTCGGGGTGCATATAAGGCCATGGTGCGAATTCTGCTGAAACACATTTTTAGAAAGTTTGTCGTTTTGCTACTTCTTATTGTTTGGTGAGTTGCGTAAATCTAAATACATTACAGGTACTAGATAATCAAACATACCACAAGTTGCAATTCAAATGTTTGAGACAACATCTTTTGAGCGGTCTAAGGCATACGTACATTAGTATCTTCAACGCAAACACTCAACTCTCCCTCTCCCAATCAAGCCACGTATCGATATGCGAGTATTGCTCTTAGCCGGCCTAGCATACGCTCAGTTTGGCGATTTCTTTGGTTTTGGAGGAAACAGACAGCCGTCGAAAAAGGCTGCCAGTCACGACATATACCTGAACCTCAACAAAGACCTTGAATGCACTAAATACCTGTGTCCTGACAGTTTCGCCTGTGTCGACAAACCCATCGACTGTCCCTGTTCTTTTCCTGAGTCTGAGGTCAAATGCATACTCCCTGACAAATCGTCGTACGTGTGTATTTCAAAGCCCGACACAGACAGCGGCAGAACTTGCGATTTCGTTAACAAAGCGTACAACGGCAAAATATAACGAATGCTGACTGATACTTTACACCTAACAAGTCTTCGAAAAAGACGCTTACAACCACCCGAGCAACTGCGTTCACTGCTTATGACATTCCATACCGGTTTATAGTAAACTCGCATCTAATAACAATTATTTAATCGTTTATTTAGTTTGTAGCCGTTCTCGCGCAATGCAGTCTCTGCTCATCGAGTCCGTCTAGTGTGTCTAACCATAGGGTTTGGTTGTTATGTCAACTTACGCCCTAGCCAGTCACGTTTTGCATCTACAACCACCCAACACAGACTCAATGATACCAATTCACCAGCGACAATGAAGGTATGTATAATTTTTGGAGACTAAAGCGCCCACGCGTATGAGCGGTGCGTCAAGAAGTTGCATGTCTTTGTGGATTTTGTTATGCAAACCCGTGCTTAACTTCTGAAACAAACTGAACGCAATACTAACGCCAACTAGTTGAACATCGCATATCCCGCCAATGGCACACAAAAATTGATCGATATTGATGATGAGCAACGCGTACGCGTTTTTTACGAAAAGCGAATGGGACAGGAAGTAGCCGGAGATTCCATAGGAGATGAATTTAAAGGTTACATTTTCAAAATCACTGGAGGTAACGACAAGCAAGGTTTCCCTATGAAGCAAGGTGTTATGCATCCCACCCGTGTTCGTCTTTTACTTTCAAAAGGACACTCATGCTTCCGCCCGCGCCGTACCGGTGAGCGAAAGCGCAAGTCTGTTCGTGGATGCATTGTCGGTCCCGATCTCGCTGTTTTGTCCTTGGTTGTAGTTAAGCAGGGCGACAACGAAATCGAAGGTCTCACCGATGCTTCAGTCCCCCGTCGTCTTGGACCCAAGCGTGCCAATAAGATCCGCAAAATGTTCAACCTCGACAAGGATGACGACGTTCGTAAGTTCGTTGTTCGTCGTGAGGTCGTCAAGGGCGAAAAGAAATATACAAAGGCCCCTAAGATTCAACGTCTTATTACTCCTCAACGTCTCCAACGCAAGCGTCATGAAAGAGCCCTTAGAGAACGCCGTGCCGAAGCTGCTCGCAACGCCGCTGCTGACTACGCCGAGCTCCTTGCTAAGCGTATCGGTGAAGAACGTGCCAAGAAGGCTGAGATCCGCAAGCGTCGTGCTTCTTCTCTCCGTGTTTCCCAGTCAGTTGCTGCCAACTAATTACGGATAGTGATGTTTTCTCCCTGCTGAATAGCAAGTTTATGCCGGTCTATCTAGACAAAATGTATTACACTTCATAAAATACGTAGTCAAAGTAGTAGTTACCTTTGTGTTTGTGCGAGCAGGTCTTTATACTCGTTAGCCCGCAATGGGTCTTTCTCGACGAGACCCTGTAGCAGCTGCACGGCGCGAGTAGCGCATGTGTTTGGCTGATACGTAGAATATAGCTGTGTGAGTGTCTCCATGCACCATACAGCATCAGGTTCCTCTTCCAGCAACTCCTCGAGCTCGTCGATCTCATTCTGCACGATTCCCGGCCGCTCGGCATCGTCGAAATTCGAGAGCACCCATCGGTAATAGTTCCAGGGCGACTCATCGAACGGGTCCATGAAGACAGCCTTCTTAATCAGTTCCAGCTCCTTTGAGAACAAAGCGGACCTGTCTTGTGTTTGCTTGGAGAGTCTTGATATGAGCTGAGATCGGTTGAACCAGGCAGAGTAGTTGCTGAGGTTGCGTTTGACATGCTTTTCTGTGTATGCGAGTTCAGAATCAACAAGGCTTGTTTTCTGAACATTCTCCATACACTGGATAACGAATCGGCGATACGCCCATCCGTGGAAGTTGCGGCCATCTGCCTCCAGAAGCATATCGACCAGCGCGAGCTCCTGGTCCCATGAAATCACCGACGGGTCAACTTGCAGCAGCCATTTGCGGTAATTCCAGAGCCAATAGATTTTCGGTTTCGCTCTTAGTTTCTTAGTGACGTATAATAGTTCTTCGTTGACGATTTTGACGTTCAGAGACTGGCCATGTAGAGCGATCAAAACGTCTCGTCGCAGGTTCCATGCAGTGTATAGTTCTGGATTGAGATCAAGCAGTGACGTAGTTAGCGCCACCGTTTCATCATTGTAAATGCCTGCATCCCTTGAGTCGAACAATCGTTCTTTCAATTCAATAAACCGGTCAATTTTCTCACGGTTTTTCCTCTTCTGTTCAGACATGATGTCGAGATCTAAGATTTGTGGGGAGGTATAACTGAGGTCTATTAGAAGCTCATAATACTTTTACAATAAAGAACTGAGTAAGAAGCATTGTAGGCATTTTATTAAATTGATAAACTGTATTCGAGATTTTTAAGGTGCGTGCGTAAACAAATACGAGACGGACTCACCGTTGTGGAGACGGCGGATAGCTTCAGCTAGCGTCGCGGAAATATCGATTATCGCAAGTTTAGGGCAGACTTTCATCTTATCGCCGAGCGGCACGGTATTGGTGCATACGACTTTTGTGAGTTTCGAACTGTTAATACGCTCAATAGCATTTCCGGATAAAATGCCATGAGTGACGAGCGCAATGACAGATTCGGCATTGTGCTGTGTCAGCGTCTCGGCAGCTTTCGCTAGTGTACCGCAGGTATCGGCCATGTCGTCGACAAGGATACATATCTTGTTTCTGACATCACCCACAAGCACCATACGCGATATCTCGTTGGGACGTGGACGTTCCTTGTGGATCAGCGCGAAGTTCAAATCCAAACGGTCGGCAAGCGCAGCGGCGCGTTTAGCTCCACCGGCATCAGGCGATACAATGACTGCGTTTGAATAGTCGATGTTCTCCTTGATATAGCGAATCACGCTCGGTTCCGCGTACAAGTTGTCCACGGGCACATCAAAGAATCCTTGTATTTGAGAAGCGTGCAGATCCATAGTAATCACGTGGTTGCACCCGGCTGTCTGAAGCATGTTCGCCATCAGTTTCGCCGTAATAGGCGCCCGGCTCTTATCCTTTTTGTCCTGTCGAGCGTACGGGAAACTTGGGATCACACACGTGATGCGTCTAGCAGACGCTGTCTTGCATGCGTTTATCATAATAAGTAGTTCCATCAAATGGTCGTTGACAGAGTCCGATCCCGTTTGCAGAATGAAAACGTCCTCGTCACGTACTGATTCACCAATAGTCACAGCAGTCTCCATATTCGCGTAGCGAGATACTTTGACCTTACACAGCGGAATACCCAGCTTCTCGCTCACGAGATTTGCAAGCTCTGGATGCGAGTTTCCAGCAAGCAGCTTGATTGAATTGGCAGCCATTTCTGTTAAATGTAATTGGCACAGTTTGATCTTACAGTGAAACTCAACCACGTTCTCAAAAACTGCTGGTACCGCAAAAATCGTAAACCAATTAATGATCACAAAATGAGCGTCAGTAGATCTTTTTTTCTTTGCTGCACAAACTGATTAAAACAGAAAAAAGTGTAGCTGAAAAACAAGGTAGGGTCAGCTAGACAGGTGGTAGGTATGATTTAGACTCTCCAATTGGCTAGATTTTTTTTTTCTTCTCTTTACATGGGATAGTATGTGCGGCTCAATAATACTACCCTACTCGGCGAAGGCAAGAAACAGTATTGGTACCAGTAATACGCACTAATGAGCAGTCTAGACTAATTTATTTATAATTTTGAAATGCTGTAGAACCTCCCTATAAACAACCGAGTTTTGAGATATGCTAAGTGTCATTTAGTCGTTAACGTGGCAAGATAGTGCCGCAGAAAATTGGCGATCAAGCATCGCAATAAGTGAATCATACTGCAACTGCAATAGCCTGTGTTTTCTCTGCAATGTACTCAGGCTCAAAAATAACTTGAATCATTAATGAGCAGGAGGGACACACAGCAGTGTCTTCACCGTCAGCAAGGTCCCATAGAGTAATCTGGAACTTGTCGCCACAGGGACACGGGTACGTGAAGATCTGGAGATCAGGATCGTACGTCATATCCTCGATCTCTATTTCATCGTAAAAGGACATTTTAGATGTGAGTACAAAAAGCCTTGGGCTCTTCAGCGGTAAAAATGCAAATCGAAGAGTAGGAAAAGAACGGTAAGTTGCAAATTGTACTGGTATTCAACCCTGAACCCCGTTTTCTGCTGTACGTATACGTCTATAATGGCTTCGAATCAATGATAATCAAATTCAACAAAAGCAGACGAGTGAACTCTCTGGATTCACTGAGCTAATCGAATTTGTAGAACTTTGCGCTAACTCATCGACGACAATGTAGGCCAGCCATGTAAACAACTGGTTGCCCAACCTGCCGTTTTTTACCAAAAACAATCGTTTGTGAAACGACTATTTTAATCGGCTACCATTGCCTAGTCAGCTTTGTATCCACATTCCAGCCACCGCTCAATGATCCATTGTACACCTGTCTTCCGGTGCCAATTTCTTTGA